GCTGGAGAGCTTTGAGTTTTCTCCATTCACTTCTGTTTGATTCTTACAAACTGCTCTTACTGGTAGTGATATGTTAGAAATAGGATCTGAATCTTGATTATTGACTCAAATAACATCTGAATTAATGTAAATAAGACCAATTTACAGCAAATTTCATGTTCTTGTCAGTAACATGTTTTGCTATTGTATTGATGCTAATTTAAAAATACATGAAACACCTTGCCAAGAGATGTTCAGTCAGAGCTGTATATTCTTGTCTCTTCTTAGACTGGACCCAGTTGCCAGCACCCATTGTGTCCTAAATGGTCTCAAGACTGCAATACTTCTAACTACAAGAAGCTGAGGTTTTATTTTCAATATTTTTGATCTGTTTTGGTGTATCCTCAGCTTGGTTCCCATAGGGTGCATTTTCCATGTAAAGTCCCAGAAACCAAGATTCTTACCAAACAGCATTTTCTGTTGGATGTTGCCAGCCTTAGCCTGAAAGCCTCATGTAACTGGGTACACATTCACTCAGCTCATGAAAAGAGAAAGAAAATGAGACTCTGCTTCTATCCTTTGCAGTCTAACTGGAGGCATTCACAGCAGGGTCCCCTTCATCTCTCTCAGGCCTAATCCCTTGGGAAACCAGCACTATTTGATATGAATTAATAATTCATATTGAGTTTTGTGAATCTAATAAGATGTTTGCAGCAGCCGTGCTATGGCTAAGATCACAGATTTTAGATGCACATTCATTAGCAGGACATTTCTCTTTAAATCTCTTTTTACAGCTTTCTATTAGTCAGTGACAATCTTTTCCTTAGGGAGTACTGCATTTGTGGACATGAATGATCTATTTTTTCAAGAGTCCTTTTTTCCACATCTTTTTGTTACTTGATTTATATATTATAACTCATTTGCTTGGCTAGACTTTATACCACATTCTCTCCTCCTTGGATTTGTATACTTCAGCAGCTTGGTATTTTCTTCTAAGCAGTCACATCACAGTCCTGTTCTGTGCAACCTTAAATAATTGCTGTGCTCAGTGCAGTAACTAAACAAGACAGCACACCCCCACACTCTGTGTTATTAACCTGCTGTGTTGTTCTCATTTTGGCTAAGAAACTCCCAAATGTTTAACAAAGCAAGAAGGAACTGATGAATCTTACATATTTGAAGGCATTCAATGAGTGGATTTTGAAGTGTCAAATCCTACCATTCTCAGCCACATAACTGATGTAAAAATGCAAGGCAGTCTACCACTCCTAACAAACACGGTTGAGGCCATACTGCTGCAATGACTTCTCGCTAGCGACAGGTGAGCAAATTTTAAATAACTGGGTTAGATCTATTTATGCAGGAAACACTTTCAAAAAAACCTGCTAACCACGCAAGTGCCTGTTACTGAGGGTAGCCAAATGCAGACAAGAGAGAAGGCACCTGGAGTCATTATACCTTGGGGGGGGGGGAAGGAATCAGGCCCTAAGTATTTCTAAAATGCACCAAAAATCTGCCTCGTTGCATACTCTGCAAATCTACCCACAGCTGTCCCATGTATGTACAGTAACTGCATGGAGCTAGCAAATACCGCACATACAGAAATAGACCCTTGTCCTCTGGAACCACGTCTAGAGACTGAAGACGTAGCCCCAGAGCACCCCACATCACATTTATTTTTAGGCAAAGGAATCACCTGAATACATATACGCTTATAAGCAAGACTGCTAGCCCTTTTCTGCAGGGTAATTGTGGAAATGGGCCTCCAGCATAAAGCAGCCACATGGAAAAATTCAGGCTGGTGGTGGTAAAATGATAAAAAAGAACACTCACATTTCAGGGTTTTTTCCTCTAATGCGCTTTGCTATCTTTTACTTTTTTTTTTCACCAACCCCTTTGTTTCTTTTGTAATTTGAAAGTATTTAAATTAGTGAATCCTAGATCTAACGCCTTAGTAACATCTGGATAGTGCAGTTTAGTTGGAGAGATTTTTATTCCAGAATGGTTTGGGTTGGAAGGGACTTTAAAGCTCATTCAGTTCCAACTCTTTACTACAGGCAGGGACACCTTCCACTAGACCATGTTGCTCCAAGCCCCATCTAACCTGGCCTTGAACACTTGCCACAACTTCTCTAGGCAACCTGTGCCAGTCTCACCACCCTCACAGTAAAGCAGCTTTCTAGTACCTAATCTAAACCTATCCTCTTTAAGTTTAAAGCCACCACCCTCACAGTAAAGAAGCTTTCTAGTATCTAATCTAAACCTATCCTCTTTAAGTTTAAAGCCATCACCCCTTTTCTGATCACCAATTGCCTTGGTAAACATCTCCTCTCCAGATTTCTTGTCAGTCCCTTTAGGTATTGGAATACTGTTGAAAGATCTTCCTGGAGTTTTTCATCTACAGGCTGAACTCCCTCAACCTGCCTTCATAGATGTATTCCAGCCCTCTGAGGATTGTTGTGGCCCTGTCTAGGCTCACTTGATCAGGTCAACACCCTTGTTATGTTGGGGGCTTCAGAGCTGGAGGCAGGACTGCAGGTGAGGTCTCACAAGATCAGAGTAGAGGGACAGAATCCCCTCACCCTGCTGGCCATGCTCCTTTTGATGCAGCCCAGGACATGGTTGGCTTTCCCAGCTGCAAGCACACACAACTCATGCTGACTTTTTCATCAATCAACACCCCCAACTCCTTCTCCTCAGGGCTGCTCTCCATACCACATGCCTAATCTTACAACCCAATCCACACCCAAATTATAAGACAGCACAGTCCTGCCAAATTCAAGATTTTACTTCCTTAAGGATTTAATACTCTGCACCGGACAGACATCAAGAGGAGGGAATGTGCAGTATGGGACAATTACTGCAAAATTGAGTATCACAGTGGAGCAGGGCAGTCTCAATTTATTTTTCCCCTTTACATTCAGTGATCATGTTTGTTGAGGCAGCAGTCACTGCAATAATGTGAATTCTTTCTTCCTCATCTTCAAAAAAAAACCCAACCCCAAACCAGAAAAGCAACAGACAACAAAATGGAAGTCAAAGAAAACCAGAAGTATCTATTTAATTTTAACAGAAATGAAAGTTACACAATTCTTGATAATCTAATTTGTAAGAGAAGGAAACATGGAAATTAAGACTATTATCCTCCCCCCCCCCCCCCCCAAATTCCAAAGACAGCATTCCAAGCAATTCCCATTGTAGCTGAACCAAATACTCTTCATGAATTCAGAGGTACAATGCTGAAGCCAGGCTCCCAGAGCCTCCTATTGTCAATGAAAGCTGAGAACACTGTGGGTTTTCAAATCCAGGCCTTTGTATTCTGTCCATCTACTTTTTAAAGAGCAGTTAGTAGAAGAGTATGTATTAAACTGGACTTTTTTCCCCAAACACCAAGTCTCACTTCAAATACAAATCTTGTTTTACACAAGCACAGAACTTGACAATATTGTCATAATTAGTGAGTGCAAGTTTCCATGCATTTCTTGAATTATGGAACACCAACAGCTGTCATTTTTGTCTTAAGCTACTGAAGTTCTCTATCACTGAATAACAGGCTAAGCCAACACATACGCTTCTGATCACTTCAGAAATGACAAAGAAAACACACATGTAAAAATACAGGGGCAATGTTGCTACAATTAAAAGATGCAAAAGCTTATATAGAAATTTCTGTTCTTGTTTCTGCTGATATAAACAAGATCAGTGGAGTTAGGTTTCTATCCATAAAAACACATCCCTTGGCCCTATTCACTTGCTGGTCTGGTACCCTTCCATGCTAAAACTGCAAATTAGACTCTGACGCTTACTACTTTTTTCCAACTAGTTTACACCAGGCTTATAATTTGGAGTATTATATCATATCTCCACCGTACTGAACATCTTCTACACTTACTTGTGCACCATCAAGGGCTTTAACGCTAACTGCTTCTAAACCTTCCTGTTGCTGTATTCTACTGGCACCATTGATCATGTCATCTAATGATCATGTCATCTAATCCTCACACATCAAACAAAGAAACACTTGATATCCTGCATGAAGTAATATACAAGTAGAAATACGATTTCACAAGGCATGACTCTAGTTGAAGACAGGAATTTGTTTCCAGGGCAATACTGGTTTTCAGCAGATGCTCAGTCTTTTGTAAGGCAATTGCATAACAGCACAAAACTGAAACTTTTCCTTATGTAGAACATCACAGAGTTTTTCTGCCAGGAAAGAGACCATGGAAATTCCTGCCTCGCTAATATCCACTGGGATAAAAGAACAATTACCAGTTGATGCATGACACAGCCAAGCTGAAAATATTTGCCTGTATACTTGACGTTTCTCCTACTGAAATCAGCTTGCATGGTTACAGCCTTCAAGAAACTTAGAAAAAAGAACTTGGAAATAATACAGATTAATAACAAAATCTCCCCATATAATACAATCAAAACACATTTTAGTGCTCACATTTTTGGTGACTTCTTGCAACATTAAAATGGCAATATCCCACTCAAGAATACACTAATGGAGGCATTAAGTACACAGTTTCCTTCCAGTTAAGTAAAATGTATACAATATTAGCTCTGAGTTTTTTTGCACTTGATTCTTAGTGAGCCAGATCTTTTAGAAAAAATGGCAGAAATCTAGCTGTATGGAGACATCATTATTTATGTAAAGTCCCACTCAAGAGCGTGTCCTTAAATGGAAAGCCACACGGGGTGAGGGCAGGTGAGAGGGACTGTGGGGGATGAAAGCAAGGATGGCAACCTCCAGATCCCAGTCTGAGCTTGACAGGAAGGGGCGGTCCAGGAATCAGAAGTGGGCTGTGCTCTAGGAGACTGAAAACTAGGTTACTATTACTCTAGCACTGAAACCCACAGTTGCCTTTAATGTACCATCATTGGCAGATACGATGCCAGAGTCCATCTTCCAGATGGGTACCTTTTACACCAGTATGAGTTGCCTCTCTAAAAAACCCACAAGAATCTACCCACAGACTGCTGCTACACAAATAATTAAGAAGGAAAGGCAAAATACATAGTTACCTTTGTTAGTATTACTGCAAACATCTAGTACTTGCCATTATGAGAGTTATATTTATTAGTAATACTGCAGGTATCTAACACTTGCCATTAGAAAACTATAAGAATTAGTCCATTGCTGAAATTTTACCTTGCATTCTTGAATGTTCTATAAGGGACATATGCAGATAGGTTTGGTGTCTGTCTTGTTAACAAGAGATCTGAGGAAACTAAGTGCAAACAATTTTCTTGGCCTCACTAACACTGTAGACTTCTCTCTAGTTACCAGCAGACCATGAGTCATAAACAAATTTTGCTGCTACTGTATCTTCAACTGCCATCCCTGAAAGAGAATTGAAGTCACCTTCAAACAGTTCTTCAGCTGTACAAATAATCTAGCTTCAAAAGGGAACAAAAAGACTCAGGAAATTATCTAATTGAACAAGAATAGGAATCATTCCCCATCCCAAACACCTACAGCATTACATTCAAAGTTTATAGCTATCATGGTATGCGATATGGAGCTAATGTGATAGTATGAATCCAATTTTCAGTGCTCATATTGCAACTTCGGCTTTCAGACATGTTATGCAGTTCAGAGTGTGGTAACCCACTATGACTCCCACGTTTCCCAAACATCAACACCAACCCCACAGTACACTGTCACATTGTCTGTAGGTCAGACAGGCTCCATGGGCACAACAATTAAGGACTGGGTTGGAGCTGTATTAACAAATGCTACAGTCATGTGTTCAATGACTATGAAGTAGAAAATGCACTACTTCTTATTGTTTGTTTGCTTTCCAATCACTTTTAATTACATCAGTCCTGCTACATAAGAGGGAAACAGAAAAGGAAAAATGTAAATCACATTCTAGTTTTTTAGGACAGTGCACTGCCATAGCAGCTTTGAAGATGATGAGCAGCTTTCCCACACATGGGGGCCCTAATAAATAATAGAGCATTGTTTTCTGTCAGACTTGTACACAGAAGGGGTTGTCCTTACCCAGTGATTTAAACACTGTTGTTTTCTCAGGCAGGGCTGGTTTTGTACCCTTCACTACCTCTCCCAGCTCAGCAAAAATCTCTGCCTGTGAAGAGAAATACATATTTATACAAAAGCATACATTCAGAGACAAACTTTTTTCTGAGTCACTTCAAAAGAAGTAACTCCTTCAGTTCTGCTACCGCAGAACAAATTCCTTTCCATGGTGAAGCAGATCAGTATTCAGATAAATACTGAAATTATGCAGAAATCAGGAGAATGGTTTTCAGACAGGAGCAGCTGGCAGACTATCCTCAGCAGGGGTTTTTATTTTTCACAGAAGATAGATTATTGCTTATCCAACAAAACACACAGGATTCCACATACTTTACCATACCTGGACATCTTATGTTAAACCTCAGAAATGGAAGCCATGTTTGTTCTACCAAAAGCATTAAAAAAGAGAAATAAAACTTCATTAAACCTAAGAGAGTCCCTGCTATCAAATTTCTTCAGGTCATAGAATCATAGAATAGTTAGGGTTGGAAAGGACCTTAAGATCATCTCGTTCCACCCCCCCCCGCCATGGGGGAGGACACCTCACACTAAACTATGTCACCCAAGGCTCTGTCCAACAGGGATGGAGCATTCCCAACTTCCCTGAGCAACCCATTCCAGTGCCTCACCACCCTTACAGTAAAGGATTTCCTCTTTATATCCAATCTAAACTTCCCTGTTTAACTTTTAACCCGTTACCCTTGTCCTATCACTACAGTCCCTAATGAAGAGTCCATCCCCGGCATCCCTATAGCCCCCCCTTCAGATACTGGAAGGCTGCTATGAGGTATTCACGCAGCCTTCCCTTCTCCAGGCTGAACAGCCCCAACTTTCTCATCCTGTCTTCATACGGGAGGTGCTCCAGTCTCCTGATCATCCTCGTGGCCCTCCTCTGGACTTGTTCCAGCAGTTCCATGCCCTTTTTATGTTGAGGACACCAGAACTGCACACAATACTCCTGGTGAGGTCTCACGAGAGCAGAGTAAAGGGGCAGAATCACCTCCTTAGTTTGATCACTAACTGCCTGCTTGGCTTCTGTCATCCATTCTCTAAAGGCCTGATGCGAGTCATCACTGACATCTCATGGGAAGAAAGTTAGATTTTAATAAATAGATCTGAAAAATATTGAACATAAACACCAAACATTGCAGAAATGTTGGGCTTTCAAAAATACATTGTTATTGTACACAAAGTCCAATGCTGAACATGTGGTACTTTAATATGGTATCATGTAATGGTTGATACAGAACTTGCATTGCTTTGGCATGGACATACAGAAGTCTCAGCCTGAAACCAGTTTTTCTTTCAGTTTGTGCCTCGAAATTATTAACAACTCTATCTAATGCTCTAAAGAGTTTTAGTGCAGCACATCATCAATACCAATTCATTTTGAACACAAGCCAATTGCCAACAAAAAGAAAGTCTTACCCCTGATAATATAACATCTCCCGATTCTGTAAGAGCAGCATCTCTGGAATCCACAAACAGAACAGAATTCTTCATCAGTTCATCATCCAGTTCTCTCCAGTCTGGTCTGCTTGCTCCAACAGCTAAGACAACAAAACTGATGAACTCAGGAGGAACGTTTAAAACACATTTAAACAACATCTTGTCCAAGAAAATGTGTGAAATAACAACGGACATTATTGTGGAAATGTAATACAGTCTGATGTTAGCACTGCAGACATGCTGATTGATAAAACAACAAGAAAAAATATGATATCCCTGAGCAACTGGGAAAAGGCCTAGATTTCTCTCAACCTGGTCTCAGCTGTAATGCTGACATATATACGGCCTGTTTCTGTAAGGTGTTAACCCCTTATATTTCTAGTGATATCAACAAAGGATGACATTGTGTCAAACCCTACAAACTACAGCTCATTAAGATGTACAGCATCCTGGATTTTGGTCATGCAGATGCTGCTCCAACTAAAGCTTGTATTTCCCATAAGCACAGCTAGAACAACCGGAATCAACTAATCATCTAATTTCAACCTGCTGAGGCATTAAACTGCAACTCTTCAGTAAGCAGAGGTGAGATTCTTTACTGCCACTGTTTCCACCTCTTTTGTACACTGATCAAACTGCTCCTTCCAGATAATGCTGACCAAGAAGGGGAAGCAGCACTGCTTAACCATTCATCACTTCATCATTCCATAGCTACACAAAAAAAATATAAGGATATGTGTAACCATGCATAGGTATGAAACAAACAAGCCTTTGCTAGCAGCTTTGAAAAATTACACCAGCGATTAGGAGTGACAATTACTCTCTTCTGCTTACAGAGGCCCCTTTAGAATAAACTTGGACTGTTTGGTGAGGCAAGATAATCTTAAGAGTTATACAAACAACTGTTCTGCAGACAAATAGTAACCTGTTTCTGTGACTGTTAAATTAAAAATAAAAAGCAACAGAAACCTGTTAAAGAGAGTTAATTAGCATCTAATACAGCACCTCTAAAAACATTCAATATCTGATTTGTCAGCAGACTCTGGGTAGTTGAGACACAAGAAAGTAATCTCCCTTTATCTCTATTACCCTTCTCTTCCATCAGATCATTACCAAGTGATTTTTACAGCCATTTGATTCAGATTGGGTTTGTTATGTATCTATACAGAAAAATAAAATTTGAAGAATCCCTTCATTATCCTGATGGATGACAATCAAAGTATTGTGCAACAAAGGCTCGCACAAGCAGACAGAGTTCAGTGTTACTAATTTGGATTTTTAAACCTATAATCTTCTATTATTCCCCTGTAACGTTACAAGCAGTAGAAATTGAGCAGATTATGGATTTTCACTTACCTGGAGAAACTGAAAACAAATCAAGGAGCTAAACTTTTTAAATACAGCAACACCACTATCAACTTCTTGTCTAAAAAACCCAAACCCACCCAGCTATACCGTAGTTAAATGGTTTTTAATAATGTCTGTTATGGAATAATAAATTCCATGTTGCCTGAATGCCTCCTCAAACAGCACAAATGTCACAACAGAGTTAAAAAAAAAGAAAGCAAAGAAAGGAGAGGGGGTCTTGGTGCATGCATTGCCTGAGTGACTGTAAACCTTAATGGATTTTGCTTGTACTTCTGGCTTCCTTTTCATGACATAACATGGACAACACTCAATGACAAAGGACTAAATTGAGTTTGAAAAATTAGTAGGATGCTGCTGGAATGTGGGACATTGCTTTAAATTGTTCCCTCTGACAAGTTTCTTTTGTCTTATTACCATGCTATTTGGAAAGTGCACAGGGTCATCTCAACCAGGCCTGCAATTAAAAGAACATGGGCATGTCCAGAGACTCAAAACAAGTGTGGCAACATCACTGCAAGGCAGGGAAAAGTAAGCCCCCAAACCCTCATGATAATTAGTGGTTAAATGATGAAGTTCTTAACTCACTTATTGCCTCTTTTTAACCCAAGTAAAAAAAAAAAAAAAAAAAAAAAAAAGTAAATCAGTGTGATCAGCCCCAAAAGGAACAAACAGAGGAGCTTAGAAAACTGGTTGAGAATATGAGTTTCCAGGGAAACATTACAATGAGCAGGAATCCCTTTGGAAATAACATGTTTGTATGGATTATTTAAATGGAGAGCAAAGTCAGCATCAAATGACAACACGGTGTCAAAGATGATGCATCACTGGGAAAAAAGCATACCCCATGCTCTAGCAAACATCCAGTGCTGGAATACACTGGAGTTGTGACTCCAGAAAAGCAGGAAAGCAGGCCTGGGAAAAGTGGTCCTTGCCAAAAGGGAAAGTCAAAATGGAAAGCTCATTCATTCTGAGAAGCTTTTGAACAGTTCATGATGGTATCCTTCAGATGATGAGAACATAGCATACCATTGATATGGGCACCTGGTTTTACCCAATCTCCAAATAAAATCGGTGTTGTTGCCATAGTGACTGTTACAATTACATCAGCCCCAGTAACTGCCTCCTGAGCAGAAGAGCAGACCCGCACTGGACCATTAACTGAATTAGCAAACTTCATTGCCTTCTCTTTGGTGCGATTCCATATTCTGACCTTCAAGGAAAAAAGAAACAAACAGATCAGCTTACAGAACTCCTCCTTGCTGAAACAGGTTATTTTCAGTTGATTGTTACACATATCCTAAAGGTGGGGTTTTCTTCCCCTTTACTGTTCTCATAGAATCATTTATGTTGGAAAAGACCTTTAAGGTTTAGTCCAACTATCAACAGAGCACTGCACCATACAAGTGACAGTTTCAGCTGTGTGTGCCTACATTTGAGTGACTGGTTAGTGATGTCAGAATAACAGCTCCTTGTAGAACTGTATTTATAAAATACAAAGATTTCCAACAAACATATTAAGGAAAAAAAAAAACAAACCAAACCATAGAAAGCTTATCCAGTAGGATTTTATCAAAGACAAGAAGCCATCTGAAACAACTTTGTTTCCAACCATTTCCTTTCACCCTGCTTTTTAAAAGGCCAACATTTGAGAAAGAAATCTGACAGCTTTTCAGAGTATTCTTGGGTTCTGTAGAAAAAGAATCAAAATATGATTAATCTCTTAACTTCTGTGGTGGGTTGACTTTGGCTGACCACCAGATGCCCACCAAGCTGCTTTATTGTTTCCCACCTCAGCAGGACACCAAGGAGAAGAAAATTAGACAGCAAAACTTGTGGGTCAAGATAAAGGTGGTTTAATAAAGGAAAAGCAAAGGAAAACAAAAGATTTATTTTCTACTTCCCATCAGCAGGCAATGTCCAGCTACTTCATGGAAAGTAAGACTTCAGGATGCACAGTGGTTGCTCCAGAAGACAAATGTCTGAGTAACAAATTCCTCCCTCCTCTCCACTTCCCTTTCTCTCAGCTTTTATTGACAGACATCAAATGGTATGGAATATACATTTGGTCAGTTTGGCTCAGCTGTCCTGGCTCTGTACTCTTGCCCCCTACCAGTGTACTGGTAAGGGGGAATGTTGGAGAGTGCAAGCACTACTCAGCAGTAGACAAAACACTGGTGTGTTATCAACACCTGTCTAGCTACCAACACAAAGCACAGCACTATGAGGGCTGCTACGGGAAAATAACTTCATCTCAGCCAGACTCAACAAAACTTCATTGGCTGTATTCTATTTATATAAAGTGCTCCTGAAACATAATAGAGAGAAATAAATGTACCCTGTTAAGACATGGTCATTACCTCTTTAAATGTGAAGAGTTCTGTGAAAATATCATAATGGCTGTATGCTTGAACACCAGCTCCCAAAATGCATAGCACTTCTGCAAAAGGTGGCATTAACAGCTAAAGAGGATCAAATACAAAAAAAAAATTATGTAAGACAGTATATTATCAGATATCAAATACATATCAAAATGCCACAGAAGCAGCATCCTTAGTCCTTTTATCTTCAAAAGTCTCTACACAAATGCTAATATTGATTCATATTAACAGAAAACAGTATTAAGTTACCACTATATATTATTTTTTTTGTTTAACTGCAAAATCTGTTGTCAATAGCACCAATGTAATTTTGATTTAATTCTGGGTTTGAATTGTCTGACTCTTGAAATTCAGACTTAACATGCAACAACATAAGCCAATGCTAATTTTGCAACCTTGGCATGCTCCAGTATTACTACAACACACTATACCTATGTGACTAATTCAGTGTAAAAACATAATGCTGGTGTTCTGTGCTGGCTGAAAACAGGGTTTACGATACCAAAAGATATTAGTACTGAAAGTGGTAGCTGTGTAGGTAAACTGATCCTGGTAGCCCCACACTAAACCACCTTTTTCAATTCACTGAAGCCATAAATCATCTCTCAATCATATTTTGGCATTGCAAGAGCTGTAATATGCATGCACCAAGCATTGTAAAAAGAGAGATGGTTCTGAAGAATGAGTAATAAAATTCAGTTCTGTAGCTGGTTTTGGTTTTCTGGTTTAGCTCTTGCCTGTGATTCACCAGTATTTGGCAACAGGGAAGAGAGGGCTGCTGGAGTCCAGGCCTAAGCTATCCTTGTGTTTTGTTTATGCATTTGCTGTGGCCACTCACATTTGTATAAAAAGCTTTGGAATTGTCTAGGCTCTCAACCCTTATTCTGCTGCAAATAAATTGAAAAAAAATCTCACTGATCCTTGTTTTTTTTTTAATGTTCCTTTCAAAGACTCTAGAGCACTGATTTCAAAGGTTTATTGCATAAAAGCATGGGTCTTTGAGAAGCAAATGCCATAAAAAGGAGAAGATGACAACTATGAGCTAAACTCAAACACTCCTGAAAATCTCCCAAAACAGACAACAACAAAGGATCTGCTCTTAAAGCTCCTTCAGCAGCCAAGCTCCTTTGAGGGCAGCACAGCCTTGCCTGTGTTAAAAACTGTCAGAACTGCCCAAGTACAGAACAGCCGAGATGAATGAGGACCTATAACCTCCTGCCCAAGGAACCCATTGTAAATTGTTCTAGCCCTTGGTTCAGGGGAAGCTCTCTGGGACAGGTTCTTCAATTTTAGGTCAGTTTGGCTCTACTGCCATGGATAGAGTCACACTGGCATGAATATTGCCACTAAAAAAGTGGTGAGATCAGCCTTCATTCTGACACAAAGCAGATGGGTAAAAAACAAGTATTTTTCAGCCCTGGCTCTCTTTATAATGCCTCATTCTTTGAGGTGAAAACTAAAACCCTCCTGTGCAATGGATAGTGACTTGCTCTCACCCCATATTACCAGCCCAAACAAGTACAGCTTGAAAAAGGAATTTTTTGAACAGCCTCACTATTTCCAACTGAAATTGAAATTATGTAAAGCAACATACAGCAAGATAGACCTCACCTGTCTTCAGACACTGAAGTTCATGACTGTTATCAGGGATAGTCATCTGGACATCTTCCAGTGACTAAAGAGAAAGTGAGAAAGACAGCCACCTCTGGACAAGTCATCCATCTATCCTGGGCATCACTATTTTAAGAGGACCTATACTGCATCCTGGAAATGTGGTCTTTTCCTCTTTCTTCAGGTCCAGTGCAACCTACCTGTCCTAGCCGAACAGCAGGAAGCATACACCTAAACAAAACTGAATTTATCACCACAGCTACAACCTAAAGCCATAAAGGAGCATGTTAAGACCAGCACAAAATCAAGAAAATTACAAAGGAGGGCAGCTTCATAAATTCCCAGGGAAGAGTGCAGAACAAGCCACAAAAACACAGCTCAGATTCCTTCTCCACTCACAGTGTTAAAGCCATACACAACTCACTCAAAACAGAAAACTCCAATTTTAAGTTTTCCCTAAAGGTACATATGTTATGATAAATCCAATTTGTATTTGATGAAAATTCACACACACAATGAAAGTCATTTACATCACTCCTTCTAGTTATTTTATATATAACACCACTAAATCTGTCTCAGTTTAGCAACTGGAAGACATACCTTGGTAGCAATTGCAGAAACTGCAGCTGTTCGTTTTGCTGTTATGACACTACCATCCAGCACCTTAAAAAAAATAAAATAAAAAAAGAGTTCAAACACACTGAAATGAACGCTGAAAATAAGAGTAAATACCAAACATTTTCATCCACTTTGTTAATTATGTGATATTACAGGGCACAGATAAAAAACATAGAGGTTGTTAGTTACAATTACAGCAACCAGAAACCACATAAATTCACATCTGAAAACAGGTCACAGCAGAGCTGTCCCCGACTCACACGACTCTTCATGCACTGCACTTCCCTGGCCCTCCAACGCAGGGAACAGACTAATACAACTGCAGTACTCTGCACTCCAGTGAGACCAGTGCAACTGGTTCATGAGCCTGCATTTTCTTGGTCTGCATAAAGGGATGACAGGGAACCACAAAATTCCTTTAATACGTACCACACACAGTGGGGCACTCCTGCCTCAATATGCATTAGCTACTATGTACAAATGAATTCTAGGACTTAAACTAACACAGTTTTGGAATAAAAGCCTAATACAGTTTTCTTGACCAGTTTTGGTTCTTTAATAATAATTTTGACTAAATTGTAATGCAAATGGTCAACAGTCTTAAAAAAATTCTTAAATTATTTAAGCAAAGAAACAACTCAAACTGAATACTATTCCTTGCGATGACAATAACTCTCTTGTGATTTAGACTTAACATGATTCAAGATCAATTCTTTATTCAGTAAGGTTTAGGTTTCTTTCTCCTTTTCAAATGCAAGGAAACTTTTCCTGATCATGCCTCTCTTCCAATCATCCTGTGAGCCATCAGATTCCCTTCAAATCATAGGCAGCAGTAAACAGCAGAATACAGTTCAACAGGTATAAAAGAATAAGGCTTTAGGCTAAATCCTGATTTGGCACAAACAAATTTTCATTTACAATTAAGGAAAACTCAGGCCAATTTACATCAAGTGCAGCTTCTAAGAATCGGAAGGAAGAACCTACAGGGCATTAACAGAGAATAACTCAGAAGTATCCGTGAAACTCACAGCTTTTAAAGAACCATTTCTTGGGTCAAATAAGAGGACGGTCGCTTGGTGAGAAGGGACAGAGGAATCCTTCTTGTGCTCGTAAAAAGTCACCAACTTGGTTGTCAGAGCATCATCAGCAGCACTGTAAGCAGGCATGACTCCTAGGAACCTTGGGAGAGATTCACTCGTATTACTTACATACCTACAGACACCGGCGCAATTAACATCTTGCAGTTAATCAGTAACTCGGTACCAATGACCCTTCTTGACGCTCAAAGTTGTTCTACGCGGTCCCTTCCCCACCGCAAGCCCGGCTCCCTCCGTTCTCGCTCCGGAAGGGCAGCACAGAGCATCCCCCCGCTGTCCTGTCCCACCCCGGGCTCTGCCAGACCACCCCTCACAGCTCCCACCCTGGTGCCAGGCAGGTGGCCCCGCAGCCCGCCTCACCCGCCGTGCCGGTGTACCGGCACCACAGTGCGCACGGGCTGCGCGACGCCCCCCACAGCGCCGGACGAGAAGTTGGCCAAGGCGGCCTCCAGCCCGGGGAGCAGGAGGCTAGCGCGTTGCAGGTGCTTCTCCACCTCCTCAGCGCCGATGAACACGGGCGGAGCAGACCCCATAGCGAGCACCGAACCGACACTACAAGACCGCGCACAACCAGCGGCCGAGCTCCGCCGCTATGTACTCGGCGGGAGACCCGCCCCCGTCCCCGGCAGCACCGCCCAGCGCCCTCCGCCTCTCCGCGCCGCGCTGCCCTCACGGGCACGGCGGGAATCGCCGCTCAAGAACAGCTGAGGGCCGCTCCGCAGTGCGATGCGCGCTCCTGACCCGCGCCCCCTCAGGCACCGCCTGTCTCCACCCCTGGTCAGACACCGCTGCGGGGCAGGCGACTGCCCACACCGCCGCGAAGGGTCCGGCCGCAGCTCATTTACGGTTCACCACAACGCGGGGCCACCACGGGGACCCCGAGGGCTGGGACAGCCCCGCTGAGCTGGAGGCGGTGGCACTCTGCGCATGCACAAACGCCGAGGACGCCGCGAAGCGTCGCTCTCCCCTCGCGGAGTGACTGTCGGCGCGAGCAGTAGAGTTTGGGTCTTCTCTCGCTAGAAAGTCAAAGCGGCGCAGGGCGTGCCGGGAAGGTTGAGTCCTCCTCCAGACAGCCATCTTCTCGCCGGGGCTGAGCTGAGGGGCGCGGAAGGATGAAGGGGTTCCCAGTGGTGGCGCGTTCCCTCTCGGTGAGGATGACCTGGACGCCTTGGGTGTAGCAGGGGAGAGGCATAGCGTCAGTTGACAGCGCTTGCCTGGGTCCCGGCGGCCGTGGGTGGGCCTGACCCCAGACAGCTGCGGGTCGGCAAGCCGGGCGGGCGAGCTGGGGGTCGGCGTGTGAGCGGCTGTGGGGCTATCAGCGAGGGGCGTAGAGGGGAGGCCAAAGCCGGCGGCGAGGCGGATGGGCAGATGGTGGAGTGGGGCGGCGGGGCTGAAGGTCAAACAGGCCGCGCGCCGGACCCGGGGCGGCCTCCGCGCAGCGCTGTGGCGGGGAGCTGCGGCAGCGGCGGCGGGTTTCTTGGGTGCTTCACCTGAGGTCTTTCCGGCCGGCGATGCAGGGCTGCTGGTGTGGCCAGGGAGGAGGATCCCTTGTCGCTGTTTGTGGCAAGGTGCCCTTGACAAGTAGGGCTTGGCAAGTGGCTCTTCCCCGGGCGTGGAAGGGGCAGAAGGCTGCTTCTGCTGCAAAGGATCCCCTGGAGGCCGCGGGCAGCTGGAGTATAATCTGTGTAGGTCTTCACTGGAAAGCAGGATGGTGAATGACCTCTGAGTCATAGTGTGTTTGCAAGTCAATTCTAGACTCTCACTAATAATTCATAAATAAGTAGTTTTAGTGGTTAAAATTTGTGTTTGGGTAAGAAAGTACTTTTTCCTGGACTCATACATTGAACAGAGTATGTGGAGTTATGTCATTGGTATCCCTTCAGCTGACTGCAGTGGGGTGTCTGTCACTCAGTGTTTACTTAGAGATGTATGAGAATTAAGTTGGGTTTTGGTTGTTGGTTTTGTTTTGTTTTTTTTTTAAATGTGAAGAATAATAAATTTGGTGGGTTTTTTAATAATCATAAGAAACTTCAGAAAGGGCAGAAGGAATAGCATTTCAGATTTGAAATTAAAAGTCTTGTTATTTCTGCTGCCAGCTAGTTGCAGTGTTCACTTCCTCAGTTTGAAGGCCTGCTTCTGGTTATTGCTCTGCAGTCTGGGGACTTCCATGCACATCCTTTTTGTATGCAGCAGTCAGTGTAGCTCTGTTGGTGAGAGAGATAATTCTTTAAGAGTTGAACTGCCTACACCTAATAAGTTGGAAAGTTGTCTCCAAAGTTATGTTCTGAGTATGTGGAATTCTGTGGCTTTTTTTTTTGAGTTAATTGCTACAAGGTGGTCCTACAGACTGTACCGTATCAGTAGAGATACCTAGTGCACAACAGCAAAGAGAGGGAGGGGGGAAAAGCTTTCTTACAGTGCTAATTCTTGAGAATAGCATCAAGGTCCAGGGACCTCATGTAAGTCATTCCCCAGGTTCTAGCAGTGATATAAAAAAAAAAAAGCAATTGTCAGAGGAATTACAAGGGAATCACTGGTTTTACTCTGGGACTTGAAGTTGTTGATTATATTTCTACTTCAGAATTAGTTGCTTCTTCAGTATGTAATGGAATGTGCAATGAACTAATTCAGGAAATCCATTTTCTTATGCTTTCTCTTCTAGAAGAGATTTTACTCACTCAAGGTAGCCCCTAAAATTTCAATCTCAAAACCTGCAGAACGAGTGAAATTATCTCGAGAGTCTGAGAATCTTGAGGTCAGTATGAATGCTGGTATTTTTTTTTCTGTCTCCTTTTTATTTTGTAAAACTCAGAGTAGAGTTGTGACAGTATTTCTAGTGTGTAACTAAACCAAATGTTTTTCTGTTTAATACAGATCACAAAATTGCCAAATGGCTTAGTTGTTGCCTCTCTAGAAAACTTTTCTCCAGTTTCAAGAATTGGTGTGTTTATTAAAGCAGGCAGCAGATATGAAACGACTAGTAACTTGGGAACTGCTCACTTGCTTCGTATTGGACCGAATATGGTAGGTGTTTGTTCACTTTGTTATTATGTTGGCAATAGATGAAATGGTGAAAAGTTTATGATGCAAAAGTAAAGGATACAGTAAAATTTAGTGTAAGAGATCTTATAAAGTGGAAAACAATGTACATTGGTTTTTTGGTTACCTGGTTCAAGTGCAGGAGAAATGACGTTACTTTCTGGAAGACAGGATGTGATGCTTAATTTAGAATTAATGCTCTCCAAGTGGCTTCACTTATACAAGATGCTCTGGAGGAAGATACAGTAGGTTCAAAAAAAAGAATTCGTCAAATTAGAGTAGCAGGTCTTTAAGGAGTTGCTAATAGGAGCAACTCCTGCAGGTGCTGCAGGAATACCACTGAACAGGTTGTGGTATGTTACATTTAAGCAGCCTCTTCTGTTGCCGCTGTACAGAAGGTTGGGCAAGCCTTCCTACAGCTTGACCTACTGTGGCCCTTCCCCTTGTTCCTGTTCATCTCAGTTGCTGTCTGGCTGTGGGGGCAGATGTGAACAGCCAGACTGTGACAATTAATGCTACACAGCACCACTGACAAGTCTGTGACTGCTGTTGCATGGGTTCAATCCACATCAGCCTCAGGCAGAAAAAAAGAACATCCCAGCTGCTTATTACCCTTCCCAACTGCTGCCTGAAGTTCCGTCAGACAGCTGTCAGTGTGATAGCATGTGTAGGTGTTCTTGCCCTGGTTTTGTGAAGTTTATCTAATTCAAAGAATCCTAATGTTCAAGCGAACCTGGATCATTCTAATATGGGGCGGGGGAGCAAATATGTGACCAATTAAACTGGAAAATCGGGAGGATGATAGAAATGATTGGGAGTAGGGGTGCAATAAGCTGGCTCAGAATGGCTTCTGTATAAATGAATAAACAGATACTGTTTCCGCGTTGCTTGAGCACTGAACAACCTCGGGCAAGTCTGTTCTTAAAATAGCTGGAATTCTAAGTTGCTTTTTTTTATTTCTGTAATAGACTACTAAAGGAGTATCTTCTTTCCGGATTACTCGTGGCATTGAAGCTGTTGGGGGCAGCCTGAGGTTTGTAACCACGTTAGGATCTGTTTTGGTAACATGCAAACAAGCTATATGATTAAAGGAAACTTAAAACAATAAGCACAACAATACAGAGACAGATAAGCTCAGTGTGGTAATGCCACTTGATTGGTGAATGTTGACAAGGAACATCTTCTGTACTTCTTGTTCAGTGAAGGTGCAAAAGTGTACTACTCATGGTTTGTATATTTAGAACACCTTTCAATTAACAAAACATAAATGTTGTGTACCTGGAAGAAGCATAATTTGTCCAGAAGGCTTAATGTTCTTTTTCTTTTTTCAGACTTTGAGATTGAACTTTGTGAAGTCAGTAGATTATTTTTTTTTTCTACATCTTTTGTGAATAGATACCACTCATGACACTGCAATTCTGGGAACAATTCAGACAGTAGTTGGCTTTCATGATTTGAGAGTTTAAAGCCTAGAAAACAAGCCTAAGAGAAATAAAAGAGGGATCTTGCTGTGCCTGCTTTCTTGCAATGTGTCTTGAAATCATCCAGTAAGATTGTTTTACATAGATTTTGGTTAAATACAATGTTTTCTATAACTTGAGACTCTGACCCTTTATTGTATTCCTATATATTCCATATATAGGAATATATGTTCCTATTAGTCACAAATGTGTTGAAGCAAGTGGGGAGTTTTCTGCCCAAAGAGAACAATTTCGAAGTTGCCTTGTTTAATACATACACACATTTGTCTTCAAGTTTTGTTATTCAAACTTATTTGTTGTTTTACCTTGAATTAGCATTGTATTTTAAATTCTGATGCTCACAAGACACTTGTTATTACTACAATACTTAGGATGGGAGTTCTAGTTATGTCTGTTTCTGCTGTGTGTGCATTATCACTCATTTTAAATGGTCATGTCAAGCAGATTTAAGGTTAACTAGATATTGAGGGGAGGAATATGTGTGAAAAACCACTTCTGTGTTCTCTGCTGAAATGGGGTTTGTATTTTTTCTCATTTAGTGTGTACTCAACAAGAGAGAAGATGGCTTACTGTATTGAATGCCCACGTGACTACGTGTAGGTATCTAGATATGCTGTAAATGGCATTGCATGCTTTACAAACTGCTGTGTGGTGGAGACCGTTTTACAGGGTAGGAGTAATATGTATTTTTGTGTTTGTCTACTAAATCAAACTACTGTATTAATATCCAGTTTCTGTATCACATTATTGAGTATATGAATGCTGCAGAACTGAAGTGGAATTTTGGCCCTCTGTAGGGCAGTGCTAGTAACTACTCTGTCTCGTGTGATACATTTTGTTGTTAATATGTTGCTTACAGATTAGTTTAACTTGCTTTCAACTTCAAAAGAAATATGTGCTACTTCTGTTGTGCTTAATGCCTTTGCAACTTTTTAATCTAGTGATACAGTTATGGAGTACCTTCTTAATGTCACCACAGCACCGGAGTTTAGAGCTTGGGAAGTAGCTGACCTTCAGCCTCAGTTAAAAGTTGACAAAGCAATTGCCTCCCAGAACCCTCAAGTTGGTAAGTGTACTTTCTGATCTACTGCAC